GTTCTGGGAGAAGTTTGTTCCTGCTGACTGTCCTCCAGCCTTCTTCCCTCTGGCTGCCATTTGCTGCAGGCTGGAACCAGAGAGCAGGTGGGTTTGAGAGCAGGATTCTCTGTGAACCAGGGGGACGTGTCCTTAGTCCCTGGTGACAGGGTTGCTCAGCACAGGGTGGTAGAGGGGTGTATTCCTGCCTCCTGTGCGAATGCTGCTGCCTGGAAAGCTTCCATGGGGAAAGGAGGATAAGGACTCCTGGGCTCAGGAGGGACTGAGATGGAGATGTAAAGAGGAAGTGACTGTTCAGTTGCTCATGTGTGAAAAGTCTGGGCAGGCCTTGGCAGCATGTGTGAAATGCAAATATGTCACACGTGGTTTCAGGTGTGAAACTTGTAGCTTCAAAACAGGTCTGATGCCAAATGAGCTCAGAAGGGGCTGGACCTCCCTGGTCAACACCTGTAGAAAAACCCAACAACCCCAGATAGATGCAATCCCTGCAGCCTCTGAAGGAAATGGGGAAGGATCATGTCCCAACTCACAGCTCTCCGCAAGGGGCAGTGGCCTGTACAGATTCCTGGCCCAGCTGTTGCAGTTGCTCTTCTTGCTCTTCCACACACCTATCTCCACATTTCTCCTTCTAGACCCACGTTTTCCAAGCTGGAAGATTGCTTTGAAGCGCTCTCTCTCTTCCTGGGAGAACTGGCTATTCCCCTGCCATCCGAGCTGGAAGAGCTGGACCACAATGTGAGTGTGCAGTATGGACTGAGCCGCGACAAACTACCTGAGAATGCAACCTAGCCCGTCCGTGCTGCGGCCCGCGCCGAGCGGCAGGCAGGGAGCTACTCCAGCCATTCCAGGGCATTAGCCGGCACCGTGCTGCGCGTTCGCTGCGTTGCCTCTCCCCCCCACATCCTACACACCTGCTCCTCCTCTCGGATCTCCTGTTTCCCTGTGGATTTGTGGTATGTTTCAGAAGAGAAGAGGGCTGTTTCCTGCCAACTGCGTCTAGGAAAGCTGCTCAACACTATTTTTCTGGCTGGAGAAATGTGTTTCTCTAGCCCCTTTCAGGCTTCTTTACTGTGGTGCCTTAGAACTTGACTGCAAGCTGTGAAGCTGTCCTGGCCTCTTGCCAGGGAGGGAATTGCCTTAGGAGACTCCTGGTAGAGACCAGCACTTCTGGAACTGCCTCTCCCAGACCGACCACTCTGCTCAGAAGGCTGGGGACACCAGGTACCCAGCAGAAGGCACCACCAGGACAGTGTGCACAGTCATGAGTTAGTTTTCCAGAACTGCCCATTGAGATTTGGGCCTCTTGTGTGGGTGCCTGGGGAGGGAGTGAAAGACCCCAGGAACTGGGCAATTCTCCTGAAACATCTTGTCTCTGGAGAAGCACGTATGAATTTTTCCTTTTTTTTTTTTTTTTTTTTATTTTCTTGTTTTTTTTCTTTCTCTATATTTGAATACCTCCAAAAGCCTGTCCAGAAACACTAAGGTTGAGCTCTGCTTGCCCCTCCTGATGATGGCGACCAAGGCTGGCAACAAATGAGCCACTTAAACATTTTCATATGCGGAGCCTGCCCAGTGAGTCAGCCTGCCCAAGGACCTTAATGCAGATGAGAGGATTTGAACCTAAATATGTGGAACTGCACTGGTTGCGAGTGCCCCAAAGAGCTAAGGCTGCTGCAGCCCTTGGCCTGTGGAGATGAGGTGACCAAAGTGCTGAAGGTGCTCTTCAGAAATCTGAAAAATCTCCCTTGAGGTTGGAAATAGCTCAGACTTCACGTGTACGTGCTGATAAAGGGGCATGTACCCAAGGCTATTGCAAGGATGGACTTGCTGGTGAACAGGAAAGAACTGGATATTGTCCCATTCTCCTGGGAGTGGCAGCTACAGAACTAATATTTCAGTTGCCATTACCTCATCCTTCCCTGCAGGCTGGGTGAGTTACTGCCTTTGAAGGTCCTTTGGTGCAGCTGCTGCTGCAGCACCTGAGCTGATTCTTCAAGCAGAAACTTTCCTCGGGGTCGTGCCCTGCTTTGGGGGAGAAGAAAGGGGTGGGAGTCAGCAGGGGTGTTGCCTTCCAGCACTCAGCAGCCCCTGTCCTGGGGGAGGAGGACGAATAAACTGCTGCTGCTGCTGCAGTAGCACATGGGGTTGGCAGAACCGAACAAAAAGCTGGCTCAAGTCCTGCTCTTAAGTTCCACAAACCTCGTAGTTTAACTGGATTTTGTGTGCTCCTTTCCTGTCCCCCCCCCAATTCCATATGGAATGGTGGGGAATGGGTGTCACGTCTTAGCTGTTACTTTGATTTCTTCCCCCATTCTCTATGGAATGGTTGGGAATGGGTGTCAGGTCTTAGCTGTTACTTTGATTTCTTCCCCCATTCTCTATGGAATGGTGGGGAATGGGTGTCACAGATGTTACTTTGATTTCTTCCCCCATTCTGTATGGAGTGGCTGGGAATGGGTGTTATGTCTTAGCTGTTACTTTGATTTCTTCCCCCTACCCATGAATTTAAAGTACTGTGTAAAATGACATGGGCTCAGCCCTCACCTGACAACAGGTGTGTGTGTGAGGGGGGTGTTTTTAGTTTGTGTAGTGGTGTTTTAGCAACACTGAGGACTCCTTGTGCTGTGAGTCAGGAGGAAGCCTCACTAAACTGGGTCCAGTGGACTCAGTATTATTATAGGACTTGCCCTGTCTTTCCCCCTCCCAGGCTGGTTTGTGAGGGGGAGAGTCCTGGGTGATGTGTAGGTGGGGTTTATGAACTGTGATTTGCACAGACAGCTCCATGTTCTAACTAAATTAAAAGCAATAAACATGCTCTGGAAAGAGGTGTGTGTTATCTTTGTGGTATTGAGGGCAGGAAGTTGTCGCTTTCTTGGGGTTTCTAGTCCTGCTGCAGAACAGTAACATCGGAACTACAGAGCACAGATATGATCCCAGAACTCACTTTTTAAAGCCCCGTGGCTGTTACCTTTACAGGACTGCACAGCAGCTTTGTAGCACAGAGGCTGTGCGAATGCTCTACAGCCTTCTTAACCTGGAGGAGGGGAAAGGGAAGAAGCTGTTAAGAAAATTAAAGTTAAGAGCAGGCTGCAGCCTAAGTTTATCTGCAGCCCAGTTGTGTACCCCTTCTGAGGCAGGGGTAAGAATACAGCCCAATTTTGGTAACTGCCCTCTCCACAGATGGAGTTAAGGTGCTTTTGTTGACGCCAGGACTGAAGGCAGAAGCTGGCGCTCTCAGTGCCTCCTGTAAGCTGCTGTGCTCTGGGCTCCTGCAGCCCTGAAGGGGCAGAGCTGCTGCAGAGATGCACCAAAGCAGCACAGAGGCACCAGCACAGGATGGGGCCACAACTGAGCCCTTCTTCCAGGGGGCTGCATCCCCACAGCTGCTTTCCAGGAATGGAGTCCCAGGCCTAAGGCAGCTGCTGCCTCCAAGGGGCACAACCCCCTGGCCCCTTGTCCCCTTGTCCATGGAGGTCCTGCTGTTTGTAAGGATTTACCTCTGCGCTGGGTGAGCTGAAGTAGCATCTTCCCTGCTCTTTGAAGTCTGCACCAAGCAAAAGGGTGGTGCTCTGCAGGCAGGCACGCACAGATAAGCCACAGCCCATGCAGGTGTCCACACAGCATTTTTCTTTTAAGCTTTAATACAAGGTAGCATAATCTGCACCTTCTCATTATGAGGTATTTAAAACATTTTACAAAGAAATGGTATTCAAAGGCATTTAAAAATAAAATGTTTCCCTTTTCTGAATCAAACACTGACACTAAAACCCCTACTGCCAAGTGCTATTCCCTCAGTTATACAGCAAAGGGCTAAAAAATTTACTTGAATGGCTTGAATCCCCTGAAATGGGGACGGATGTTTCCCTGAACTGGCCTTGCCTCGGTGCCCATTGGGAGACACTGCAGCAGCCATCCCTGCCAAACTCCCTGAAACATTTGCTGATAAAAGTTGTTACAAAACTGCTGTAAGGGGGCCAGGCTCTGCAAGCGAGTCTTGCTGCACAAGCAGAGTGTGTATGAAGGAGGCTGAGCCAGAAACCTTGCCCTAACTTTGGGAACTTGCACAAGTAGCTGCTTTTCCTACCCTTGTCATGGCAGCTACTGTGTCCTGGTCATCCCTATAGCTGGCCTGGCCCCTGGGCCCAGAGCTGGCCCTGGAGGAAGCCAAGGGAATTTGGAAGCTTGTGTTAGCGCCTCTCCGTGCTCAGCTTACTCCAGGTCACTGAAGGGCAGGTTGTTTTCCTTCACTCCACAAATACCTACTGCTGCCTTCTGGTTTCCCGATCCGTGTAAGTGAGCACAAGGCAGGGACTGCCTGGACACCTACAACTCTCACTGTGCGTGTAGCACCACAGGGGAATGGAGATGTGGCGTCAGCCTTGGAAGACCTGGATTTGTCAGCAGCTTGAGAGGAGCTTTTCCAAATTGACACTGGGCTAAACCTACTGCTCCTGGCCAGAGCCATCCCTCAACTACACTCTTTCCTCAAAAAACAAACCCAAAAGATAGATTTAGTAGCAGGATGCTGGACAGCGTCTCCAGCTCTCAGCCACTAAAGCGAAAGGCAGGACCTATAATCAGAGTGTAATTATCTAGCTACGTCTGCTGTGAAGCTCCCCTCAGTCCCTGCAGTACTGCTCCCTCCTGGGGGCCCAGGCTGAAACACAAGTAACAGTGCACACCATTCGACAGGAAAAGAATGGAAAAACAGGAAGCCGAGCCCATGCTCTGGGCTATGGGATCTGTGAGCAGGTGTGAGCCTGGCCAGTCATCCCCCCCATCCCCTTGGCACTCCAAGGAGATAGGCGGGAGGAAGCAGCGGGGTTCCCCACAGCAGCCCCCAGCTGCACATGCACTGAACGATCCCCCCATAAGGAGCAGCCCGTTGCCCGGGCCCCTGCATCCATCCATCGGGCTTTCATCAAAAAGAAAACAAAACAGAAATGAACACACGCGCTGCCCTGCCCGCGGGGAGCCGGGGGCTTTGCTCGGCCTGCAGCTCTCCTGCTGCAGCTGCTCAGGCGCCGGGGGTACCCGCCTGCTCCATGAGCGGCCCGCCGCCGTCGCGGCCATCTTCCACGGGCGTCTCGTTGGTGTGCACCACGATGGTGTTCTCGTCCACGAGCTCGCACGCCGGGTTGGAAAATGCCGACAGCGGCAGCGTGATGCGCTGCATTTCACGCTCGTAGACCTTCTGCTCGTGCTTGTCCTTCAGGTCTTTCCCCCTACAAAATTAAAGAAAAAAAAAAAAGGCAAAGGTGAGTGTCACTTTCCAGTTGTGGAGGCCCAGCAGAGTGATGCAGCCCAAAGGGAGAGGTTCAGCTCTTTAACAAACAGCCACTCCAGCCACACACAGAGCGCCCAAAAATGTCCCCTGCTCTAAGCAGAGCACCCTATGTGTGCACTATACAAGAAGCAGCCAAGCTGTGTCTGTTCCTCCCTCATAAACTGCCTTATTCACTGACAGAACTACAGCTAAACCACGACTTTAACGCTGGGCTTCCTCACTGCGCAGCACTGACAATTGCTTCCTAACGCTTTACAGTCTCGTGGCTCTGGTCAGTGCAGGTGAGGAAGCAGTGAGACAGCACAGAGCTGCTGCCGTGCAGAATCACTGCCACGGCCGCCTACATCTGCCAGAAACTAATGCGTCTGTGGTGACAGATTCTGCCTTTTGCTGCAGCAAACAGACCTCTGCAGCAAACGAAGCTGTTACTGAGAGCATGAAACCCTACCTGAGCTGGCCCTGCTTGCTGTGGTTGCAGCTAACAGCTCTACAGCATAACCAACTCCTCAAATCTACCCTGCTCTTCAGCCTGTTGCCAAGGTAGGTGACACCTCTGTAATTTGCACAGCTGAGAATTGCCTCGCTGTAAAAATGGCTGGCATTAATAGCATGTTGTCTCCAGAAAAGCTCTGCACACCGAGCTACCAAACCTGTTAAAGTTTTCTCATCAAATCCGTGCACACCTGCCCACTCGGACACAGAGCAGTGAGCGCAAGGCCCAACAGAGGGAAGGAGATCCCGCCCTGCAGCCCTGCCGGGGGCTGGAGCACGAAAGGAAGCTGAGGTCTGGCCCAAGCTCAGCCTGACTCCTGCTGAGGACGGGTGTGAGGTGACACGGGCAGCACCTGTGCGGGGCTGTGATCGCGAGCAGGCAGAGCTGCCAGGTTCCCCTAAGCGCGCGGCCGCTGCTCCTGCCAGACAGCGTGCCCCAAGTGACACCTCCAAGAGGTTCCTCGACAAGCAGTGCTCTGGGTTTTGCCCCTTACGTAACAATCCTCCCTGTTTTTTTTTTTTTTTTTGTCTGCATTTATTATAAACACTTACATAAGGACATGTCCCAGCTTGGGAAAGAGCTCCTGCTGCTTGGCTGTGTCAGCGTGCTGTCAAACAGCCAAAATATAAAGCAAACCCTCCCGGAAGAGGGAGCCTGGGCCGTCACTTGCAACCACACTCACTGCTATTTGTTAAGCCTGCTCTGACTCTTGCAAATAAGCTGCCTGCTATTACACCTAGTGCTTCTGATGCTCAAGTGCTGCTGAGCTACCAAAAAGTTTCTGCCCGACACAGGGAAGTGGCGCCACAAGTCACAGGGGTGAATCAAAATGAACCTCAGAGCAGCCAGGAGATTTGGCAAAATATAATTTGCCAAGAAAAACACTATGTGGGACACAACACACATTCTGGAGATATTTTCTCCTAAGGCTAGCTAATGCAACCTGAAGACTGCAGAGGAAGCTGACCTGCTTGGGGATTTTTTTGTTTTTCCTGATCACAAAAGGAACTTCCTGGGAATGCACCCAGCATGTGCTCCCTCCAGCTTATACCTAAAATTCAGCTTCCCTGGAAACATCTGAGAAAGCCACCCCCATCTGCCTTTTCATCCGGATGTGGCTGGGTCTGCAGGAGCTTGGACTCCTGTCCAGATGATTGTTTCATGCCTACACCAGCTTTTGGACAAAAAAAAAAAAAAAAAAAGAGAAGCCACTGACCTCTTGTAGATGTATCCCACGACAATACCAGCTCCAATGGCAATGATGATGACCATCATGATCAGCCCCAGCACGTAACCTGTGAGGATAAGAAGGAAAGAGGCAAAATTAAAGGGTGTAAATGCAGCTTTCAGAGCCTCAGAAGGAATCCATCCTGTCAGAATTACAGGAGGGGATCCAATGTATGATTCCAGGTTTGTACCTAGTGTCCCCAAGTCCTTCTTCTCTTTGGAGTTCATCTGCACTCTCTGGCTGATCCCAACGACGGGCTGCACAGCGGCAGCCTCGCTCCGCGAGGGCAGCGTATCAGCCGGTTCAAACACCTGGTTGACCTCCTGGGAAGCATCAACCTCCGCTGTAGAGACTGGCGTTGCTGTAGAAGTGGCATCTGTCAGGTGGAAAACAGAGATGTTTGGAAGATCGAGCAGATGAGAGTACTTCAAAGCAGCACGTGCCTAAGTGAACAGGACATGTCTAGTCTGGCATCACCAAAATGCCTTTACAGCACATTAAAAGATACTTGCTCCCTCTTACATTGTTGCCAGAAATCTTAAATCCTACCAAGACAGGAGAGAAACAGACTCCTCCCCTACTTGGTCTTGACCTCAATCTGTTGAACAGGGTGTACAAGGCACCAACCACTACAGACAAGGGAGGAGTCAAGACAGCAGAATGAAGCCAGGTTCAGGACATGAGGCCATGGATGCCCCATGACTTCATTTAGTGCACAGACGAAGACACAACCTGCAGCTTCAATCCCACTGAAGAGATATGCACAAGATGATCAGAAGCTCCATCCCAAACCTCCCAGGAGCCTGTTTCTCTCTTTTCTGCCTCCATCCTCCCGACACACAAAGGTCTGATGGAAGGAGACTCCTGCTGATGTGAAAGCAGTCTTGAGACACTCCTATTTCCCAGGACTCCTCGCAGCCCCGTAGCAAACTCCTCCAGTGGGACAGGCAACTTAAGTCACAGCAACAACACTGGAGGCAGCACATTCCCTGCCTAGTGCCACTCTATCAACAATCTCCCCTATTTTGAGCAAATAGCTCAAATTAAAAGTAGCCAGAGCTCTCAGAAAGGTGCATAAGGATGGATGGATGCCCATGACCCGGGATGTGGACTTTTACCTACAGCCTTTAGACCTGTTTTTGAGGGAGCTTCCTCTTTTGTGCCACAGTTAAAACAGAAGTAGCACAACAGTAAAAGCTGTGCTGGGTGCTGGGGGGCATTCCCGCTGCCCGCGAGCGCCAGCCCCTAAGGAGAGGAACCCACCTTTGGGACACGCCATTCCCGGGATGCATCCACACCTGAAAGCTCCCACCGCCTCTTGGCGGACCTGGATCTCCCCCCCCTCAGCTCCCAATACCTCCCTATTTGTATCTGCAGCCATTTTGAGTCCTCAGTGGAATGTGAAATGGAAGTGCGGAGGGGGGTGCGCGAGGGGACACCAGGGTCTCCCACCCCGCACAGCTGCTCCGCTCTGGCTCAGCCAGAGCTGCAGCAGGCAAACGGTGCCGTTCAGATGCAAACGGTGCCGCTCGGAGCTGTAAACATGGCCCGTTCCTTAAATATGCAAATGGAGAATTGGCTGAAAGGTCAGTCAACTCCCCCGATCCCAGAGCTGCAGCCCTGAGTGTTTTGAGTAAAGATCTTGGCAGCAACGTTTGTTTTGCTCTATCTTTAGGAAAAAGCTGAGGGAAGGAAAGCGGAGGGTCGGGAGGAGTGTTTACATGCAGGGATGGCAATCCTGGGGGAGAGTCGGGTGCAGACAGCTTAAGGGGGCTCAAAGAGAAAGAAATAACTCCAAAAAGTAACAGTTCCTTGCCCTCGGTCAGCCTCTCCCTGACAGAGGCTTCCAATGGAGCTCTGCTCTCGGCAGGTTGTTCCCCACCCCGACACACTTGACTGCCCAGGGAGAATCCAGTCTTTGGGGTTTCCTTCTTTTACTGCCCCCCGTCCCTCACCTCCGCCAGGGCTGGAGCAGGCAGAGCCGGGAGGCACCTGTGCCCCACAGGGCTGGGCGTGGGGGCAGCACCCAGGGCCAGGGGAGTCCTGGGGACACCTGCCTGTTCTGCGGCTGGGAAGCCGGGCGGCCACAGCCGCTGTTGTTTGTGCACAGGCAGGCGCTGCTGTGGGTGCTGCATGGGGTGCAAGGGGGGTGCTGGTGTGCACAGGGTGCTTGCACAGTGTTGTTTGTGTGCAAAGGAAGGGGTATGTGGGGAGGGGCGCTGGAGTGTGTGGGGGGGCTGGGGAGCGGGAGGTACACAGCGTGGGGTGAAAGGGGTTATTGGGGTACAAGGGGGGCTGTTGGGGTGCATGGGGGTGTTGGTGTGCAGGGGGGTTGTTGGTGGGCAAAAGGGTACAGGAAGTGCTGGGGTTTGTTGTGTGCATGGAGGTTTGTTGAGGGACAGGGGGGTGTACGGCAGTGTTGGTGTTCAGGACGGATGTGGGGATACATGGCGGGGTGCTAGTACAGAGGGGTGCAAGGGGGGGCGTTGGGGTGCAGGGAGGCTCGCTGGGGTGCAGTGAGTCTGGGCCCCCATGACCACCCCGGGGGCAGCGGGCAGGGCGGGGGGCAGCCGCCGCCATCCCGGCGCGGGCGGCTCCTACCTGGGCACGGGGCGATGTCGCAGGCCCTGCGCTCCGCTCCGCCGGCGGCGCCCCGCACGTAGCACCAGGGCGCGGCGGCGCCGTCCGGGTTCCTGCAGCTGCTGTGGTCCTCGGCGGCTGTGGGGCAGCGCGCAGTGAGCGCCGCGAGCGCCGCGAGCAGCGGCCCCGGCCCCGTGCGCGCACCCACCT